GTCCCGACTTCAGTTCTGCAAACATCCATGACCTTTTGTCTGTTCTGCAAAGAGAACTGGAGGTAAAGTGCAAAAAATTTTTGATACTTTGCACAAGAAAGAATCAAGTCAAGGGATCAGGATCTGGTGCACGCATGCACAGGAATCAACAAGGCCAAATCATTTCTTATAGAAGCAGTACTACTGTGCTTACATCCTCCCACACAAATAGATAGATGATAAACTGGATTCAGGGATCTGCTACACATTACAGAAGATGAATTAGACTTTCTCTCGAACTCTCATTGGCTGTTTCTCATCGCTGAATTCCCAACTACTCGCTGAGGGTTTCGCTCTACACAATTCAGCAGAGCCTCAGCGATCGCTTGCAGACTGAGAAAAATCGCATGGCTGAACCGTTAACACCACATGAGCATGCAGCGAGTACCCGCAGAGCCCCAAAATTAGCTCTTTGTTTCTCCTCAGTGCAGCTGAGCGCTCAGGGGCGTAAGCGGGGTTCAGTAAGTTCACTATGCTGGTGCTAAGAGAAAGCAGTCATAACACGATTGATTCCAATCCGTCAATCTGCTCCGGCTGGAAAGAGGACGAATCGAGCCGTCCAGCCAGGGTCCTGAGGATCTCTTTACAGCCCTTGGATGGGGAGGATCTTTGGCATGGTGCCAGGACAGGCTTGGAGGTGTTTGCTCTCAGCTGTGCACATTTGGCACGAAACAAATGCTCTCGCTGCTTATGTGCAAGCGTGCGTGTGTGTGTGTGTGTGTGTGTTTGGAGGGGGTGTTCTATGCTGATTCTAAAGGGCGGGGGTATGGTGTTTCATAGCAAACATTGCACAACACTTAGACTTTCGAGCCAAATCACTGTAAGGGTAAAAACAGTTGGGAGAATCTGGTTTGTGTAAGCTGTCAGTTCAGTTTTAGAGTTTCGTCTGCTGTCGAGCATGTACGCTATTTAGTCTAAGTGAAGACTCGAACTGTCTTCAGCTTTACTTATCATCAATTTGAGAATGTGTTTCAAATACACACCAAAACCTATGAATTTAATTTTCCAACAATTTCCAGTTTCAGTGCCAATAACATCGCTAAACCATACAGGAAGTAATAAATTCTGTAGGGTGGTGGTTGTTTTGTTTTTTTTTGGGCTGTAGTAACCCCTCTCTAGTATTCTTAGACCCTGACCTATTTACATTAGCATGAGGAAGTTTTTGATGGAGATTAGAAAACACTCTAAAGATAAGGGCACCTGCTAAATGCTGTAAATGTCATTTATTAACATTTATAATGCGCTTAATGCAGAAACACCAAACGGTAGAAACTGTTTTGCATTTGTTGAAAACATGTCACAATGACAAGTGCTGGGTTTTGTCATGGTGCCATTCTGTTATCAGTCACTGAGATCAATATAGTATGGAAATTATGGTATACTGATAACCCTAACGTGCACATCATGGGACCCCCAAAGCAAAGCAGTGAGCTGTCAGTCAGGCATGAGGCTGAGAGAGTCCTGATCACTGCTAGCGGTGGACAAAAAAGCAGAGAGAAAGCAAAACACATATATACGACTTTAAGTAACACCACCGCAGATCAGCGCGTGCGTGCTAATCACCCTTACAAACGCGTCTGATGTGTGATCGGATTGCTGGTGTTGCTGTCTGACCCCTTGGCTAGAAGCTGGCTAACTGAACCTGCTAGCCTTAGCCTGCTAGCTTTAGCCTGCTAGCTGAGGAAAAAACAAAGGGATATGATTACCCTGCTGCAGCAGCCGTGCACACAACATGTCGCCTAATAAACACTGGTATACCAACGAGAACAAACCCTGCAATTAGTCACCGTGGTGTAAAAATAATACTCGCATTTCAGTGTCAGTAAAAAAGAGGCAAAATAATAAGCGAGAAGGAATGAAGAAAAAGGAAAGCCTGCTAGCTAGACGTGGCTTCACAGACGTCAATACATAAGCAGTCATGCTAGCAAGCAAGCTAGCTAGCATTTAGCAACGCTGCCGGCCGGCTGAACAGGCCAGAAATCCTGTGAAAACGTCCCGACTCTTTAACATTTATAAACCTTTAAACTCGAAATCAACACAATAACACGTATCTACTGACATGAAAGCGACACTGAGTACTTTTATATCGACTGTTAATTTAAAGCGTTTAGCAAAACAAAGAGGCTTGGAACTGAAGCACGAGCGAAGAAGTCGATTAGCTAACTTAGCTAACACGCTACCGGTTGGCAGCTAGCTTTTAGCTTAGCCACTTTCATTTCACTCGCCAGCAGTCATTGTTGAATTTACCTGCCAGCTGTCTCCTGAGTAACAGCGCTGACTGGGGCTCCGTCATCGTTATCTCTACTGTACTATGACTTTAATACGCGTTCAAACTAAACTAAGGAAGAGAAGCGCAGGCTTTAAATACTCGTCGCTGTCTGTCCGTCTCTTCTAGTCCGTTTTGCTCAACATTCTGATCCGGTGCGCGCATGCGCAGTATCTCCAGTGAAGCCACGAGAAAAGAGAGAGCTCGAGGGCACTTATGGGCTTCGCGTTTGCGCATGCGCTAAGCAAACATTAAATAAATAAATAAATAAACAAATACATAAATAAATACATAAAGAATAATCTCGAACTCATTCAAATGGATATTAGTGTGTCGATTTTATTATAAGGCCAGGTACCACGCCCTAATAAGCTTATTTTCTTTCTTTACAAAAATCAAAATGAAACTTTTTGAATGTGCACATCAATACAGTATTTTATGAATTGTATTTTATAAATGTTTCTGTATACTCAAATAATTCAATACATAATTAAATATAAAAAAAAATCTTTTTTTTTAACAAAACAAAATTCACTCAGACGTTTTGTTTTTGTTTAATGATAAGAAAAAGCACCCAGTGTCCAGCTTTAACTTGTTATTTTATGTATATTAATTCAGGTTAACATCAGAGATGCTAAAAGGACCCAGATTCGTAACTCAAGTCAAAGTGCATTTACTCATCTAAATAAATACTCTTCAAATTCTTCACTCAAAAGTATAAAAGTATGAAAGTAAAATAAAAGAAAGTTTCACAAAAGATATCTGACTCAGATCACACACTGATTTTATGAGGTAAATAGTTACCTTTCAAATGTGTAAACATTACCTAAGGCTAACTAACAGTATGTTAATTCCAAGTCTCTCAAATGTTACTTAGCATGATAATAAACTCTGAGGATGCACCTGAATGCTAACAGCAATAACTAGCTCTCACAACACAAACTGCCTTGATAAATAAAGTGTATGAAGCAACAGATAGATTACAATGCTGAGTATTAAATCTCATTCTTGTCGTCACATCTGTTAAAGTTTACTTTCCTTAGTCATTTAGATCAACTCCACGAAGCTGCCTAAGGCTAAAAAGTCACCTTATAACTTCACAATTATATAATTACAGAGAAAGGTAGTCATGTAGGGTTTGAAAATGTAGTGGGTAAAAGTTTAAACCTTTTTTTTTTAATGTAGTGAGTATTTCTGAATAGTGTTTAGGTTAAAAGTTACTGAAAGACTACTTAAATATTCAGAAAAACACAAGTCTGCTTCAACACCTACAAACCAGCAAATAAAACTATGTGGATTTATTAAGGTTAGGAAAAAAACGCATGAGATATGAGATACAGTGTGTTCTGAGAGATCAGACATCAAAATGATATCAATGATATAGCATCAGTCGAAAGAGATCCAGTTAAAATAATCAATATTTCAGCACGAATCACTGCTTTGTCTTACACAGTGTCTAAACATTAACTAACATTAACACAACATTAACGTTGTGTTTTAGGAAATAAGGTTATTAATAATACATAACATAATATGGAGAGATTTAAAAAGGAATTTCTTTTTATTAAAACAGAACAAAAACCAAGAAGTAGGTTTCATATCACTATATATATATATATATATATATATATATATAGAGAGAGAGAGAGAGAGAGAGAGAGAGAGAGAGAGAGAGAGAGAGAGAGAGTGTGTGTGTGTGTGTGTGTGTGTGTGTGTTTTATTAGGCAGTTGAGATGCTTCCCCACTAGGTGGAGACTTCAAATTCAAGCCTCTTGCCCCTGAAACAGGCACAACAGTAAAATATGTTATAAAATCATTTCAACTGAACTCTGAATTCATTTGAAGAAAAAAAAAAAATCACCCACCGTGTTTACTTGGTATTTAATATATTGCATTTCCCAGGACTGTCTTGTTAATTCGCTTACAATTTGTCAAATTCAGCATTTAAAAATATTTTCTTTGATGAAGAAACTAAAACAATTATACTTCTATAATTACAATTTCATATTATGGATAAAATTAAAATGCACAAAATGTATACTATTCAATGACAAAAATTCCTGACCTTGAATATAAATAAATAAATAAATACGTAACAATCTGCTTTTCCACTGCATATAAAATCCTGCCATACTTTAAAACTAAAAATAGATATTTTCCATATTGTAAGACATTAAGAATTCCCCCTAATAGTGATGCCACATTGCTAGACTCAGTCAGCACCCTTAAATCCTGAATAATAAGTGAATTTATTAACTCGTGACATTATTAATGTGGTCTATTACTGAAACAGAAATCTGTGGATCAGCAATAATCAAACCATAGGCTGTAGCTTATAAGAAAAGAGAAGAAGCCTCTGGGCATTAGGAAAAGAATGATGAGGAGAAGAAGATCCCCTTCTTTCACTCATACAATGTGTCATACCACAGATTAAGAGAAGGTGGAGTCAGAACAACAGACAGAAAGTGCGTGATGGAACAAAAACAAAGACAAAAATGATGTTAAACAGTAACACGTCTAGTTATGGAACATGGACAATATTTAAAGTCCTGCCATATTAAGAGTATGTGGTTGTTGTTCTTTCGGCTGTTCCCATTAGGGGTCGCCACAGAGGATCATCGGTCTGCATGTTTGATTTGGCCCAGGTTTAATGTCAGATGCCCTTCCTGACCCAATTGGGAGTGGCTGCGGTTGGTTCCCTGTCTGGGAATCGAACCCGGGGTGTGGCGGTGAGAGCGCCGAGGCCTAACCACTAGTCTTCCAGGAACCTATAGTAGGAGTTTGTGGTAATTGGTAATAATAATTATTATGGCAAAACTACAATACTACAAAGTGTGGCTAACCTAAAATTAAAAATAATGAATGTTATTCTTACACACTTCTGTGTCTGCATAGCTGCAAACATGTGAGGGCTTGTGCGCAGATCGCATCCTCCGTCATATTACATATAACTTGAATTCGTCCACTGGGGCGGGGGGGCAGAAAAATAAAAACGAAATGAAAGAACTAAAGGGAAGCATGGTGATTCAGGTGGTATAGCGTTATCAGCGTTATCACCTCACAGGACCAGGGTCCCTGGTACGATCCTGAGCTCAGGTTACTGATTGTGTAGAGTTTCTCCCTGATGTTCTCCCTGAGCCTTCTGGTTCTCTGGTTTCCTCCCACCTCCCAAAAACATGTAAGTGGATTGGCTATGCTAAATTACCACTAGAATGTGTGAGCATGGTGTCCGTGAGATGAACTGGTGTCCCATCCAGTGTGCATTCCTGCCTTACACCCAGTATTCCCAGAAATGGCTCTGGATAAGCAAGACTTTCATTTAGTTGTCAATTTTCTGCCCCCAAGTTGACCCGCTCACGTTATCTCCAAATCCACTGGCAGACACATATGCGGCTGTGTGTATGTGAAACCCTCGCATTGTATAACATATAAACCAGGCCTTAGTGGTGAGATTGCTGACATATGTGGTGATAAAAATGTCAACAAGAGGTCAATGTCTGTATCATTAGAACAATAATGATTTGTACTGATTGAAAGCCTGCAATTTTCACCCATCTTTCACCTCATTTCTTTTTAATTTGCCAGGTTTCTATATTAAGCTATTGCTCTATCTACAAGTAAGTTACAGTACTATAATTATCAGTATTTGCTTAAGTATACAAAGTGTAAGTTTTTAAATAGACTACAGTACTCAAATAATGCAACATCTAATCGCATCACCAAGGTTTTCAGACAAAAACAGCAGGGTTCAAACAAAGATATTTTTCCTCACTGAAATCAACTGATACAGCATGATAAGAACCAGAGCCTTAATATCATCACAGAGCCTATAACTGTTCCTGATGAGTTGTGATTGCTTTTCCGTGGCTGACTCGCAGTATAAGGGGAGCATTAGGGGGTTTTCTGGCTAATTTACAAATAAGAACCATGTTATTAAGAATTCTCTATGTCTACGCTTACATAAAAGGGAACTATAATACAGAACATTGGCTTTTTTTTTTTTTTTCAAGTGTCCACATCTCTGTTACGGAACATGATAAGGCAACTTCTGGTTTGGTTCAAACGAAAGTTCCCATCAACGTTGCATTGAATATGAAGCATTTGTTTAGTTTGTAGTTAGATAATACAGTTAGACCCTGGAAATTGTATTAGTTATTCCATTTCAGAAAGTGGTGCAAAGTCTTTAAAAAAATTGAGGTGAGCCTTGTTTTCCTATTGCTCTAATTTGGTTAATCTTTTAACTACTGGCTCAGTGGGCAAAGGTTTTGTGCTCTGATCTGCTTTGATATCGATCTCCAGCCAGCAATGTGGAAAACTCAGGAGAACTGGACAACACAATGCACTGAATGTCTGCTCAGCATGTCTGTCAATGCAAATGCCTCACAGTGCAGAGTTAGGTTATACAAGAACTAGTATCTTGAACGAAGCCATATGCTTCATTTGAGACAAAAAGATCACATTTCCCCAGAGTTTTTCTAATAGCAGTGTGACGGGTCTGGGGAGTGTACGGCTGAGAATAGAGAATTCCTCTAAGAAGAGGAAACAAACAAAAAAAACCAACAACTGGCAACTGGTTTCAAGTGCATATTGCGTCACAAGAAGGAACTGTTTTCAAACATGTGACCAGAGGGAGGAGACATGGGGGCAGGACTCAGCTCTAACTTTATAATCAGGTAGTTTATTGAAATTGCAGAGATATCACACACAACCTCGAGACAGCTCAACAGCACCGAGCCATAGGATGGAAAAATACATGCACTGAAATGTACAAGATGTCAGGACTCCACTCAGGTCAGTGTATTTATGTAGCCAATTTATGATTAAGAATTTTAAATACCTGTATAAGATGCATTAGCATTCAATTACTCTGTAACAGAGGGTTGATGGATCACTTGGGAAGGTCATATGATTTATTGGTAATGGTGTGTTGTGATCCCGAGCTGACAGTCTTGCTTTCACTATCTCAAAAACTGAAACGCTGGCTGTGTTCTGTGTCGAGCTGTAGAGAGACAATTACATTGTTCTGTGAGGTGTGTTTGTGGGCAAAGTTGTGCACACAGTTGGGGTATTGTTGGTGGTTTCTGTGGTACTCATGAACATGAATATGTCTGGATGACGATCAGCAGCTCCAAACTTTTTTAAATGAATACTGTAAAAAACAAAACGTATAGGTCACATGATTTACCATTGCATTATTAAATGTGCCTACAGCAGGGATTCCTAAATCTTTTGAGCAAACAACCCCAAATGGACATTATAGATTTTCTGTGACCCCCAAGCCTTGGCATTTTTGTGTTCGTTTTCCTGACTTCTCTTGTTCCACCGAGTCAGACTCACTTGAAATGATTGAGGAACTAGCAAAGATAGATGAACGGAGAAATGTGTCTATTTTTATTACTGAACTCTTTTGCTAGTGCAGTGCGTCAAGATAGTGAAAAAGACTAAAATGGCACATGCACTCTTAATTGAAAATGTCGTTTATTCGACAACAATTTCAATGTTGAAATTAGTTAAAATGTCTAGAAATAGGTTTAATAATATCATTAAAAAAATGTGTGGTGGTCTGGGAAAATCCATGCAATGTTGCTCTGATGCATTCTGGCAAAAAAAAAAAAGAGAAAAAAATCAGGTTTTGGCCAAAATGAGTTTTTTTTTCTGCCCATACTTCTACTCTATAACATTGTGAGGTTGAGACACATGGAAAATGAAACCACATTTCAGTTAAACCTGAACGTTTCCTGAGGTTTGTAAAAATAAAAATAGTAGAAATTGAAATCTTAGATAAATATTATATAATTTCGACTGTAGTCAATGGGATAAATACTTGATATCATATTTTGGAGTGTTGAATTTTTTTGTTTTTCACCTTGAAGTTTGGCAGCAGTGGTTTGTGGTGCAGTGGGTAGCATTCCCGCCTCACAGATCTAGAGTCCCAGGTTCAATCCTGAACTCGGATTACTCTGAGCTGTTGGTTTCCTCTGGGTTCTCTGGTTTCTTCCCACCTCCCAAAACCATGCTGATAGGAAGATTGGCAACACTAAATTACCCCTAGGTGTGAATGTGTGTGCATGGTGCCCTCTGAAAGATTACTATCCTATCCAGGGTGTATTCCCACCTCACTGCCAGTGTTCCTGGGATAGGCTCTACAGAACCCTGACAGGATAAAGCACCTACTGAAGATGACTATATGAATAATTCCACTCCACAAAGGTAATAAGCTGCAGTACGGCTGTCAGCAGAGAAGAATGGACAAGGCATGACTCTTTCAGTCCCGTTAGTGCTCAGAAGGAGGAATTCCCCTAAAATACTGTCTACCACATTTAAAACAGAATTTAAGCTTTTTAAACTTCTCCCCTCCAGCAGACGTGTGAGTACTGTTCTTCAACATGGAGGAAGAGACACAGGAAAGCTCATTTGGGCCTAAGATGAGTTTAAGCTCATCCACGAATGGGAGCCACCGCTATAGCTCCATAGCCAGCAAGTCGGAAGAGAACCAACCTCTCATCACTAATATCAACAACATGATGCCCTCTCGCCGGAGATCTTACGTCGCCGTGGCTGTGCTGTGCTATGTGAACCTGCTCAACTACATGGATCGCTACACGATCGCAGGTAAACGACGCAGCTCAACTCTGAAGTCTTAGGAGAGTTAGAAGGAGCCGAAAAGCTTCTGAACCATTGTGCTTTACATCTAACACACATTCTGTTTTGGATTTCAGGAGTTCTGTCTAGCCTCCAGAAATACTTTGGCATCAGTGACAGCACATCTGGACTACTACAGACAGGTATCAGCTTTACATATCCAATCAAACCGAATATCTACTTTCAATAGTTTCTATCTGTGCCTTTAAGAGCATATCATGTTAAGAGTGTGGTGTGATATCTGATGTTAGATCTGTCACTACAAAACCACTTCCTGTTAACTCCTACGCAATGCATAGTCGCCATATGCCTTCTCATAGCCTGCACACTCATTTCTACACGACAGTATGCAGCTGCTTGTGGAGTATGATGTGGCTACGTTTGATGTTGAGTGTAGAGTCTGAGCTTGCAAAAACCGCATAGTCCTGGTAGCTTCCAAAGTCAGATATTTTTACACTGCTGATATGAAGCTGTCAGATGGTTTACTATAATAGGTTTATTGCGTGCAATGTGTAACACGGTCATTTTCATGTACAGAATAAATTCTGTGCAACAAAATGCATTATTTTTATGTAAGACCATTTAACGCCTTGTTGCTCTTTGGCCCCCCAAAATATTATAAGGTTTCCAATTTAATCGACAAATGTGTAAAGACAATACATTCTGTCCACTAGATACAACAGGAAGTTATGCACTGAACAGACAACAGATATTTTGTAGAGAAATATATGAATGAATATAATACTGATTTTCCCGATGGTGGATGAAATTTCTGTAGATTCTCAAATATGCATCATGCCACCAAACAAGTATGATTCTTTAGACATTTGATACTACAGTCCAAATCTGATTAAAATCAGTTCTGTGACAGGAAAGAAATCATTACTCCCGAAACATGACTCACAAAATAAATTTTGTGACAAGAAATTAGATTTCAAGAATTTGGAAACTAATTTGCATGCCTTTAAAAATATTATTGTCCATTCAGTGCATACCATACAGTTATATGCAGAAGTATGGGCACCTGTCAGATAATGGAGGAGAAGACGGATGCAGTTGCAGGTAAAGCAGTGTTTTAATGAAGCACAGGCAAACAATTCCAAAAAAAAAAAAACGTAAGGCAGG